AAAACCAGTCTGTATCATTTTCGCTGGACTCGCCTGGTGACTCAGTGGTAAAGAATTCACCTACCAATGCAGGAGACACAAGTTTGATTCCTGAGTCAGGAAGATCCCCTGGAGAAGGAAATGGTGACCCACTCCAGCATTCTTGCCTGGGAAATCCCACGGACAGAGGAGCCTGGTGGGCTACAGTCCATGAGGCCTCAAAAGAGTTGGACATGATTTAGCAACTAAAAAATATCATTCTTGCTAAAGCAGACACGTAGACCACCCATGAAAACATTCCTGTATAATGATATCTCCTGTTATTTAGTCCTTTTCTTTTGGAAGATGAGCATTCACAAGATGTGATGTTTAGGTGGGTGAGGAGCAGAATCTCTGAGTAGTTTGGCCACTTTTAGTAACACCAAAAAAAAAAAGGTTGAGAATTTCTAATTGTGAGCAAATTACAGTTGAGCAGATGTGGCTCAGACATCACATGCTAGAAGAACAGAGGCAATAAGTCACTGTGGCTCAAGCATCATGTGTTAGAACAGAGCTGATAAATGTGGCTAGAGAAATTTACCATCTTACCTAGGGTTTTGTATATCACATTCAATAATTTGCCTTTAACCTAAGAGTGATAGTAAACCATCAAAGCATTTGGAACTAGAAGATGGCATGATCAAAGTTATGTATAAAAGAGTATAGCAAGAAGGGAAGCAGAGACAACAGTTTGAAGCTGCAAGAGTAATGTAGATTAAAAACAGTGAAGGACCTGAGCTAAATAATAAGCAGTGATGAGAATGATAGATGTGAGATATAGTAAGGCAGTGATAATGATTATAATAGCGACTAATATTTGCTGTGCATTATGAGCTATAGACTGATCACTTTACCAAGCACATTGGGTATATGATTTAATTTAGTCCTTACAGCAGCCTTATGAGGCAAATTATCTTATCAACATTTTTTAAATGGGGAAACTGAGTCACAGAGAGGCTAAGTTACTTGTTAAGGCCACACAACTGCTTAGGGCAGAGCAATGATTTAGACTCCAGCTGTTTGTCTTAGAGCCCAGACTCTTGAACTGAATGGTAGATTTGATGGATTTGGGTGATACGAGGTGAAGGAGGTGGATTGAGTGCTTAAGGAGTGGATTAAGGAGTGAAGGAGTGGATTAACCATTTCTAGCCTAGACACGGGTACTGTGTAGGGGAATTAGGAGGTGATATGTATTTGGAGTGTGATGAAGTGGAGAAGTGAAGGGCCAGGGACAGGATAAATTCAAGTTTGGACATTCTGAGTTTGAGAAATCCAAGAGGAGAGATCTAGTGGTCAATGAATATATGGGTCTTTACTGTAGAAATCTAATGCAAACCCACAAAAACATGGTGGCTAGGTGAGATGCAGAGAATGTTGTGAAATGGGTAAACCTATCTGTAGTACTGTATTTATTAAATTTTGAATGTCACTCTGTAATTAAAACTGAAGTTGTGTCTGGAGATAAACATAGTTTCAAAGAACTGGGAAACAATGTTGCAGGAAGATTGGAGTAAGGAACTGGGTTGTTGCAGTTCAGTTCAGTGACTCAGTCCTGTCGGACTCTTTGCAACCCCATGATGGACTCTTTGCAACCCCATGAATCGCAGCACGCCAGGCCTCCCTGTCCATCACCAACTCCCGGAGTTCACTCAAACTCATGTCTATCGAGTTGGTGATGCCATCCAGCCATCTCATCCTCTGTCATCCCTTTCTCCTCCTGCCCCCAACCCCTCCCAGCATCAGGGTCTCTGTTTAGTGCAGCGTTAAAGAGATGGGGAGAGTCGATGATATACAACATTTAAGAGAATAGTTATGTAGAACATGGAATGTATGTAGCACAGTAGTCAGGATAGGACCAAACAGATGCAAATTACTCAGTTCCAGAAATGCTAAGAATAAAAGCATGTCCAAAAAGGGAAAGGATTGCCTTATGAGGTAGTGCATGCTACTTAAGGAACTGGAATATCAACTGGAGTGCCACCCAGTAGCAGTATTATAGAGGTAATTCTTGTTCCACATGGATTATTCAGTACATCAGAATTTAAGAGTGTTGTAATAAACTGTCCCGGGTTTTATAATTTGTTTATAAATTATTGATAGGTGTATTCTGAGTTTCTCTTCACAAACGAAGTAAATCATTATTTTTCTTGGCATAAAGCATATGAAATCATCACCATCTAATATTATAGTTGCTGGAAATGTGTAAGGATTTTCCCTAAATACTAATCTATGTCTCATTACTGCTTTAGTTGTTTCAGCAGAATGCAATAGTTTGGTTGCAGGAATTGTTTACCATATCAGTGACGCCAAATAAAGGCACTATTTTTAATTCCACTTAAAGCAAAATGTCAAAATAAAGTGTAGTTTCTCATTACTGGATTTACAATTTTTGTAACTCCTTTTTTTTTTTTTTTTTCTTGGCCACTGGGAGTTTTGTTACCAGCAATGAAATACAACCTTCATGTTGTACTGTGTAGGATAGATACTGTAAATTTCTGGGCTTGCTTTTCCATTGATCTGGATTGCCGTATGGGAATCCTATTCAGCTGATCTTTATTTCCTGAGTCAGAAATTCTGTTTTACCAATCTTTGGGGCTTTCAGCAGTTATTCTCAGTGGGCCTTCAGGTATTGCACATGAAAGAGAAGGTTCAAAGGCATAGAAAGAAGGTTCAGGGCTGAAATGTTTACACTGCATTTTAAAAAATTTTACAAACATTTTCTAAGCTGATGGATCAGCATGAAAGCTTAGTAGATCTAAAGCTTTTTATATGCGGTAGTATAGGTAGCATTTGAATTATACACAGTTTTTAAGGAGTGGTGTGGTACTCATCAGTTATAAATTTTATGCAAAAGTGACTCATTTGTATGTTTCCAGCAAGTGTAATTAACATTGTGATTAACGTTTTATATTTCTTGATTTTTCCACAAGTTTACTTGCCTGTTCTTATTCTGATTTATTTTGAAGCTGGCAGTATTGAATTGAGATAAAGTACAGTTTACAGTCAAAATAAGAAATTAACAAGTCACTGGAAATTTTATAATAAACAGATATTTCCTAGGTTTTACCACTTTTTATGTGGTCAGCTACATATATTGCATAGCAATAAAAATATTTTTAATTAATGAAAGTGCCAGTACAAAAAGCCAACTGTTATGCATTTATCATTTATTTAGTAAAATATATTTTAATTATAAAGAGCTTTTACCACCATATATTGATTTTTTATAGTGTGATGTTTGCTAATGTCAGTAGCTTGTTTGAATATAATCTGGTTCTCTGTGACTAGTTGCAGATTACACATTTATAAATTTTAGATAGACAACTTTGATACTTCTCTCAGCTTTGTGTATAAACAAAATGTTCAGTATGAAATGCAAAAGTTTGATAAAGGTCTAATGTTTATTCTGAAGTACATAAATGTTTGTAGAACATTGAAAAAATCCTTGTAAAGTAAGTATTTGAGTCTTCTGCCATACACAGCATTTTCTTATTAAACAGATTTTTGACATTATGTTAAGCTATAACAGAATCCATGCTTCTGGGAAGTTTACATACATTAAAAGACTTTTTGACAAGATGAAATTAGTCTTCTGTATGAAATTGTGGGAGAATTTACAAAATGAGCATATATGCTTAGGAGCTGATTTATCAAAATATTTTTGACTTGATTTTTCCTTTTATGGGCTTCTCTCCCATTTTTATCTCATCGTGTGTGTGTATGTGTGTGTGTGTTTGTGTTTGCCTGTAAAATTTGCATAATGTAAATATATCTTCCAACCACAGCCAACATGTTTGGAGATACATTGTTTGGCCCTGGGGAGGACGTAGGCTTGTAAGGAAAAGAATACTGAGATTTGCTTAACACAGTCTGTTCTCCCTCACACCTAACTACAAACTTAGTTGTGCTGTTCTAATATACCTAGGGTCATTTTCATGTTAAATACTATCCATGCTTGGATTTAAAAGTGAAAATATACTATGTAGCTTCTTGAAAGCAATTGGCTTTTATTCTAATCATGGGGATCAAATCATGATGCTTTTGTTAAAATCATTCCATAATTTAGTTCTAAATTTTTAAATCTTTTTTAGGGTAGATTCCTAAGCTTCCTGGGATTTCTTCTAATATTGGGATATTTATTTACTTGGTTGCATTAGTGTGTTGCCATTTCTCAGTTCCCAGAGGACTCTGTTTTAATCTATATCATAACTTGACACAATCTGTTGTTATAGATCTGCTTTCCAATAGACTTTGAGATCTTCATGGTTACAGACTGTGTTTTATCTTTCTTTGTCCAAGGCCAAGTGATATAAGAGGCAGTGAGGTAAGAGTGTGGCTGTCCTGTTAAATGCAGCTTCAAAACAGAAGCTTCAGTCTGTTTCCTGCTAGTTGGGGGCGTCCCTGGTGGCTCAGATGATAAAGGATTTACCTGCAAAGCAAGAGACCTGGGTATGGTCCCTGGGTGGGGAAGATCCCCTGGAGAAAGTAATAGTTAAACGCTCCATTCTTTCAGGCACTGCATTCTTGCCGGAAAAATTTCATGGACAGAGGAGCCTTTCAGGCTACAGTCCACGGGGTTGCAAAGAGTCGGACAACAATAAGTATGCACGTGCACTGTTGCTGAAGACTGTAAAGTGTCACCATAGCAGGGATCCCTGGTGTTCAGTGAGTCAGAATTCTCGCCCTTCCTTCCCACCAGATGGTCCCCCCACCCAAAGAAAGCCTAACCACCTTTTAATTTTAGAGCAGATTGTCCAATTCAGGGATTCCCTCTCTTGGTCTTAGGTTGATAATAGGCAAATTTGGGCATATGCCCATCACACTATTCCACAAAACACTCATTTGTGGGATACCTGGGTTTGATCCCTTGGTTGGGAAGATCTCCTGGAGAAGGGAAAGGCTACCCACTCCAGTGTTCTGTCCTGGAGAATTCCATGGACTGTATAGTCCATGAGGTCACAAAGAGTTGGACACAACTGAGCGACTTTCACTTTCATATGTACTATGAAAATTGTGCATATCAAACAAAAGATCACTTGGTTCCAGTGAAGAACATAACTTTTTAAAGGGATTAAGAAGAAGAAATAACAATTTATTTGAATTTCACATGGATTCCTTAAAAAATAAGCCTCTGCAGGCAAGGAAGGTACTGTGCTATGTCTTTAAGAATTTAAAAATGAAGAGTACTTAGTATTGCTCTCAAGGAGACAAAATGTAGTGGGGATGCGTGTGTGTGTGTGTGTGTGTACGTGTGCACGTGTGTGTGTGTGCATGATCATAATGCAGATTAAGTGAATTAAGCATTATAACCAGCAACCTATGGGAATGATCTGTTCTAATATGAGCTTCAGGAAAAAAAGTACAGAGGATATGAACACTTGACCTGAATTTTGAATAATGCATAGAGACCTGATAGGTATATTTATGCAAATATTCAAGCACATAATAGCACATATACTCAGTATGAATTTATGTGGATAAATTTATGTGGATGTGTGTGTGCACAAATACATAGTCATGGTGAGATTAGCATATACTCTTCTTAAATGCTTTTATTCTCATGAAATGTAACAATATAGAAGTCTTTATAAAAGCCTCTTTCCCTTAACTGATGTTGCTGGAATATTGTTTTGGCTTAAATCTTTAGTTTAGCAACTAAAACTGTCAGCAGTCATGATTAAATAGTATATTAACCAGTACAATTCTTATAGTGACACATGGCTATGTATTAAAGTGAAATAAATGAAAGACTTAGAATAATCTGTCCATGAAGGGACATACATAATATGGTTTTGAAAAAGTCCAGTCCTTTGGCAGCTGTCTAGTATTCAGATGGTAATTGTATTAACCTGGATTAGCCTGGATGGGTAGGAAGCTATGTGCAGGAAGACATTATAGATCATGTATTCCTACCCATGTCATCTTGAAATGATTAAACCAAAGTAATTCTGTGGTTTACCCTTCAACTAGGTCTACTTCCCTCTCCCCAAATCTACTTCCCTCTCCTCAAATCTCTTTACTTTTTTTGTTGATGCCTATATGAGGTATCTATAGTTGCATAACAAATTACCACAAAAATCAAATTACTATGAGATGACTAATCATTTCATACGTAGTTTCTTTGACTCACGAATCTGGGCGTGCCTTAGCTGGTACCCTGCTTCAGCGTCCCTCACACTGTAGTCACAGTGTCAGTCAGAGCTGTAGTCTCATGTGAAGGTTCAACTGGGAAAAGATCTTCTTCCAATTTTATACGGTTTTGGCAGAATCCAGTTCCTTGTGGTTTTTGGACTGAGGGCCTCTGTTCTTTGCTGAGTATTGACTGGAGACAGCCCTCAGTTTCTTGCCATGTAGGTCTCTGCATGTGAAAGTCTGCTTTATCAAAATCAACAAAGGAGATCTGTAGAAATAGTCTGTAAGGATGATGGGAGTTCCAGTCTTATGTAATATAATCATGGTGGTGTTATCTCATCACTTTTGGTGTATCTCCTCCATTAAAAATTGTATCACTTAATCCCTTCCTCTTGAGTGTGGGATTAAGTATGTCTTATAGACATGAATACCAGTACCAGGTGATGGAGATCCTCATGGGCCACCTTAGAGTCTGCCTGCTGCAATGCCTAATGTTTATTTTGGGTGGGATAGACCTATTCTATAATGATAAATAAAAGTGTAGAATTCTGAAGGGATAAACTCATCAGTAAATAATTTTACTTGTCGGTGAGTAACTGCATGTAATGTAAGAACTTTCCCTTTTTTTGATATCCAGAGAATATAAAGAGACTAAAAAGGCATTAGATTGATGAGTTAGAAAAGAAGTGATTGCATCAAGCTAGAACATGCAAAGGACAGATTTTTTTTTTTCCAGTTTGTAAATTTTGTCTTTATCTAAAACATTTATTGTTTTCTTCAACTTCATAGAGATAAATGGAGGTTGTACTCAGAAATGCTCGAGCACAAGCCTACTTATAACTTTATTTCAATTTAAAAACAATTTAAAATCATGATTTCTCTTACTATTACTTTCCCTCTTCCTTTTTCCAGAGTACTCCTTGTTTGATGTATCAAAGTAGCTGTACGTTTGTAGTCAGTATTAGCAAATAAAAATAAATAAAGGAGATAGAGAAATACACAGAACATAGTTCTTACTAAATATGTTGTGAATAAGAAATGATAATGATATAAAATGTATACTGAATTTGACAATGAAAATGGATAGATGCAGGAGATAGTTATTTGTGTATATTCAAATATTAAGGACAGACCATTGAGTTAATGATTAAAATAGACTGAATAATGATGAGAAATTTGTATATGGTAAATTCTCTTGTGCTTTGTTTGCTTCTTAATATCTTATAAATTTTAAGAGTATTCCAATAATCATTACTATTTCACTGTCAGAATTAGCAAAAGACCTCCTTTTTAATGTGCAACTAAACTTCAGGGATTTTCTCCAACTACTCGTCAATGCATTTCTCCTACTTTAGTTAACATGATCATCTGTGGTTGATCATGGCTCAGTAGTATCCTGAAATGAAGGAGATGTAGCCATGAAAAGCAGGGAATTCAACTTCAGGTCACCACCTCTTATCCTGAGAGAAACTACTAACACTCTTGTAAATTACTGAATTCTTGCAAAGGTCCTTTCTCCCCCAAAATGACTCATCTCTTATTTAAGAAGCAGATTCTTAGCCTTGGCCTTACATTTTCAGTATAGCTATCCTATTATTAATGTACTTTTAAAACTGTATTTTTGATTTAATTAGTTCTGAAAGTTTGTATTTACCCTCAAATTAGTCACTAGTCAGGGATCTGAACACTCCAAAACTTGAATTTTAAAAAAAAATTCTTGACAAAAGATATTTAGTCTATTGTCTGTATTGTCCCGAACATGCCATAATTTTAGTGTTTGATCTAGATTTTAAAAGCCCAGGAATTCAAGGACTTTTGCTGTTCAATCTCCAAGTCGTGTCCAACCCTTTGTGATTCATGGACTGTAGCACGCCAGGCTTCCCCGTCCCTCACCATCTTCCAGAGTTTGCCCAAGTTCATATCCATTGAATTGGTGATGCCATCCAGCCGTCTCATCCTCTTTCACCTCTTTCCTGCTGCCCTCAATCTTAACCAGCATCAGTGTCTTTTCTAGTGACTCGACTATTTGCATGAGGTTGCCAAGGACTGTCACTATGTAAATATCTTTGTGTAGCAGTTTGTGCAATTAGACTTTCAATAAATGCTTTCTGATAGTGGAAACCCAGTTAAAAGTCTTCTGGGGAAATTAAGAATTTTTAAACAACCAAACAGAGTCACAATAGTGTAAAGTTCGCCAGTATTTTGAAGTAGCTTCTTTCTTCTTAGCTACTTAGCCTTATGTCCCTTTTCATACTCTCCATTTCTTTTTAGGATATTAAAACAAACAAACAAAACATTCTGTGCTACTTTTGTCTGAAATACCTTAGATTTCTGACTGCCAAAATCTTTTCTTCTTGACTTTGGTATGTTGAAGATATCACATCTTCCACTCTGATTTGTTCTTTCCATTCAGGAATGTGGGGAGGAAGTTGAATACTCAGTTGGCTAGAGTTACAGAGGAAGAAGATATCTTAGGGATAACACTGCTTAGCATTCATAACTGAATCTAGATATTTAGTGGAAAAACCCTGACTAAAAATCCAAAGGTTTTAACTAAAAGTTCTATGTTGTTTTTTTTTCTTTGTGAACCAGGATAATATTATGTTGTGTGTGTTGCGTGCACGCTATTGTGACCTGGTGATACAATAGATATCAACTTGTTTGTGCATCTTTGCCATAGTGACACATTATTGGCTGTTCAGCAATATTGCAGATAATCAGTATGTTAGCCACTGGACAATTCTGAGTCAAAGCCAGATGGCAGACTTTATTTTGACTGGTAAGTAGATTGAGGCTAAAAAATTGTATTTTAAAAAAATTATGGTAAAATTGCACTTTGGCTACTCATGTGTTCTTAGAATATTTCAAGTAAGTATCCTTTAATTTAATGATGGATAACTTTAAGTCATGTGATATTACCTTTTCTATGAAAACTTAGAAGCCTATGCCAGTTTATTTCTTTTTTTACTACTGTTTGCTGCTAGGGAGTGTAGGCTGAACTTCATAATTGAAACTTCACTGTATTTTACTTTGTGTTATTGTCTAATTGCTTTCTATATCGCTACTTTTATATATATAAACAAAAAGGTTATTTTGGGCTGTGCTGGGTCTTCGCTGCAGTTTTTCTCTAGTTGGGGGAGGGGGGCTACCATCTGCAGTCATATGAGTCTTCTCATTGCGGTGTCTTCTATTGCTACAGAGCTCAGCTGTAGAGCGCGGACTTCAGCAGTTGTGGCATACGGGCTCAGTTGCTCTGCAGTATGTGGAATCTTTCTGGACCAGGGATTGAATCCATGTTCCCTGCACTGGCCGGTGGATTCTTATTCCACTGAGCCGCCAGGGGAGTCCTTTACTTTTCTGTCATTAACTAGAAATAAAGTTTTGAACTATCTTATTCTTCTCTTGTACATCACAATTATTTTACTTTTGGGTACATATTGGGCATTTAATTTAAAAAGCTAAAATTATTTTTGTCTTAAAGAATATTCTTTAAGTGTCATGAAAAATGTAATAAAATGAAACCCAAACACTTCTCTTGAGGGAAAAAGAAAACTTTGTTCAAACTTTTAGGACAAAATTTGTCTGTAGAACACATCAGAAAGATTTGCTGTTAAAAAGCCAGTCTATTAAGCATGTGTTTAATTTCATTCCATGTATTTTTGTAACCATGCCTATACTGTTATTTTTCCTCAGTATTTTTATAGATTTTCTTTTCTTTTTTTTTTAGGAAGCAGTTAGGAGAAAGAAAATTACCAGGCAAACCATCCCTAGTATTTTATTACCACAAAATGAAACAAATTCCTAGTTAAACATTAGTAATTTCATATTCTTAATATGAAAAAGTAGCTGAGAATATTTAAATTTCTGCCATTCTGAGATTTTTATCTTGATATATTTTGTCTGTTGATTTTTAGTGTGCAAAGTAAGATTTTGGTAAATCACATGCTATAGAAGTAAAAACACAAAGATATTTTTATAAATCACGTACTACAGAAAAAAAAAATACAAAGATAT